TGCAGACAATTAATATAAAAATTTAAAATAGAACATCGATTAAAACATTCAATTTAAAACCTAATTTTGTATTCTTAAGTGGTTGATGAGCAAAATAGGGATGGCAGCAGAAATGCAGGAAGCGAGGACGATACTCTGCCAAGTATAGAAGGTATTTACTTAATAATTTATAGCTTACTGAGTAACAAAAATCGTGTATTATATGAAAATGCAGTCAATTAAAACACAGGCATTCAAGTGCGCATCTTAGTGTTCCTTGGCCTTTGCTAATCCATTATAATATAGTGCAGGCTCTAGCTTTGACTAGGAGTAGGTGCCCTGATTCAAATTAGATATTGCATGGTATAGGACACTTTACAATGACTAACAAAACACCTTTATACAAGGTTATACATTCCCTTTTCTATATGAAAAGAAATTTCCTACCTGAAATAAAATATCAACGAAGAATTAAATAATCACTCTGAAGCCTAATTTTGTGAGCCGCGACTAACACAAATTGTAAATTACATGGAAGTGCAGTCATTATTAGGCAGGGAAAGGATCGAGTCTAGAATTCTGTGCTATATGAGAAAAAAGTGTCTTTTTTAACCATTGAATGTTTCATAAAAAAGCTTCAGGGATGAAGAGTTCGAACGAATAAAGATTATTCCCTTTAGTTATAAGATATTGCAAGCAACTGACCTCAAACGTTTATACGTGAATTTCATAGCATCATGTCATTCGTTTTAGTCGTGAGACATTGCAAGAAACTTACCTAAAAATTGGGTAGATTCGTTCAGCAGCATCACGCATTTACTTAAATCTTTTGCAGACAATTAATATAAAAAGACCTTAAAATAGAACATCGATTAAAACATTCAATTTAAAACCTAATTTTTTATTCTTAAGTGGTTGATGAGCAAAATAGGGATGGCAGCAGAAATGCAGGAAGCGAAGTGGATCCTCTGCAAGTATAGAAGGTATTTAGTTAATAATTTATAGCTTACTGAGTAACAAAAATTGTGTATTATATGAAAGTGCAGTCAATTAAAACACAGGCATTCAAGTGCGCATCTTAGTGTTCATTGGCCTTTGCTAATCCATTATATATATAGTGCAGGCTCTAGCTTTGACTAGGAGTAGGTGCCCTGATTCAAATTAGATATTGCATGGTACAGGACACTTTACAATGACTAACAAAACACCTTTATACAAGGTTATACATTCGTTTTTCTATGGATAGAAATTTCCTTCCTGAAGTAAAGTATCAAAAAAGAATTAAATAATCACTCTGAAGCCTAATTTTTGTGAGCCGCGACTAACACAAATTGTAAATTACATTGAAGTGCAGTCATTATTAGGCAGGGAAAGGATCGAGTCTAGAATCTCTGCTATATGAGAAAAAAGTGTCTTTTTTAACCATTGAATGTTTCATAAAAAGCTTCAGGGATGAAGATTTCGAACGAATAAAGATTATCCCCTTTAGTTATAAGATATGGCAAGCAACTGACCTCAAAATTTTATACGTGAATTTCATAGCATCACGTAATTCATTGAATGTTTTGCATGCAGACGAACATAACCAAATTCCAAAAATTAAAACATCAATTGAGATAGAGAATAAAATCATTACTGAAATGCATGGGTTAACATTATTCGTTTTAGTCGTGAGACATTGCAAGAAACGTACCCAAAAATTGGGTAGATTCGTTCCACAGCATCACCCATTTACTTAAATCTTTTGCAGACAATTAATATAAAAATACGTTGAAATAGAAAATCGATTAAAACATTCAATCTAAAACCTACTTTTGTATTCTTAAGTGGTTGATGAGCAAAATAGGGATGGCAGCAGAAATGCAGGAAGCGAAGAGGATACTCTGCCAAGTATAGAAGGTATTTACTTAATAATTTATAGCTTACTGAGTAAAAAAAATCGGGTATTATATGAAAGTGCAGTCAATTAAAACACAGGCATTAAACTGCGCATCTTAGTGTTCCTTGGCCTTTGCTAATCCATTATAATATAGTGCAGGTTCTAGCTTTGACTAGGAGTAGGTGCCCTGATTAAAACTAGAGATTGCATGGTATGGGACACTTTACAATGAAGAATTAAATAATCACACTGAAGCCTAATTTTTTGAGCCACGCGAGCAAGAAAAATTGTATATAACATAGAAGTGCAGTCATTATTAGGCAGGGAAAGGATGCAGTCTAGAATTCTGTGCTATATGAGAAAAAAGTGTCTTTTTTAACTATTGAATGTTTCATAAAAAAGCTTCAGGGATGAAGAGTCCGAACGAATAAAGATTATCCCCTTTAGTTATAAGATATTGCAAGCAACTGACCTCAAAATTTTATACTCGAGAGAAACATAAAATCTAATTTTGCTTCTTGAATTAGCTTAATGCAAGGAGAGGTGTAGTCTATATGTTCGCATTTTGGTGCAGCAAATGCAATTCAAATGATAGATGTGATTACAAGCCTCATAATCATTTTATTATTTAGTGTTCGAAATCTATTTGGCGGGACTAAAATGCAAAGTATAAACTTGGCCTTACGTACTTGTTTCTATGGCATGGCATTTTTTCCAACTGCAATGTCCGGCAGGCGTTAAACTAGTAAAATGGGATTTATTTTTGCAAAAAGATTGTTGATTACAGTTTGAATGTGTTATGCCTCAATAGCGGCGTTTTTAACATTTTCCGGTCAACATACTGCATGCCTGAATTGTTTTGGCAGTAAGGGAATATGCTTAATTTCCTTTTCATGTTCAATTTTGAAGATATTTTTTTCATAGTCACGCTGTAAAATAAAATTAAACCTTAAGAATAGAATTAGGTATTACAACACTTCTTGTGTTTTTAAAGAACATGGCAACGAAATCAAGACATGTGCTATGAGAAGGCAGAAAAAGAGTAATAAAAGATTGCTAGGAGGAAAAATAAAAGATCTGGAAGGTCAGAACTAGTTACATCAATAATACACATACCTTCTTCGATATTTGCAAGAACTCTAACAGGTCGATGAACTTCGCTAAGCCTGTTATTGCGTCTGTTAAAATAGATAATTTAATGGGGAAAGCTTCGTTGATTCAACAAATGAAATTAAAAATTCGTCTTTCTCTTCAGCAAAATTAAAAAAGCTGCGGGAACACACAAACGAAGATTCATCTTCGGATGAAGACATTGGTGGTAAATATTCTCAAATAGTATTCCAAAAAGTAGGTTTTGAAAGGGTAGAAGTGCGTAATATAGTTCGCGTAAAATGATTAAAGAGGCAAAATTCTTGTTTAAAAGATTCATCAAGCTCTTCAGAGTGGTCATTGAGTGGAGCCGACTTCAAAGCCAAACATGTAAGCAGATATGCATACAATGTGTTCATAAAATCATATTTTTGAAACAAAAAAAATGTAATTAAAAATATATATACCTGTTAATTACTAAAAATGTTGTTATCGCCGGGATGTTTTTTTTATTAATTGAAAATAGTGAATAGTAGTGCTAGGGTAGTGCTATAATGAATACTAATTTCAAAAATGTTACTACGTAGATCCTATGTTTGTTTATTTAGAATACAACGTTAAGAGTGGCTGACATCTATACTGATGATGAGGATGAAATTGTAAGGCATTTCCCTTAGACGACTCAATGGCAAACGCATTTAGAACAATGGATTAAATGTTTAAACTACGACATTCTATTCATTGTATGGTTTTCAGTTGATTTTGCAGATTAGTAGTAGCTAATATGAGATATTCTTAGCTGTATGTGCAAAAAGAAGACTAAATACTCTATCATTGCATCTGCTCTCGGATGCGTAGAGTCGTAAATTCACTACCCGAAATGCAAGACGTAAAATGTCTTTATGAAAATTTGTGGATTTTTCTTGATTGCAAGAAACTAATTTCTACTACTTTTAACTAAACTTACCAAAATGTATATTATATTTTGGTGTAGTAAAAAAGTCATGTCTATTATGAAAATTATTACATACTAACTGGAGCATCTGTTTGTATTAAGGGTATACAGAAGGACGGCAATGCTCAAGTTACAAATGACGAAGGTAGGAACGGGAATGATCACCAATTTAGTCCAAAGATTGACCATCACTATATATGTGTATTTCAAAAGGTTGTTCCTATCAATATATATACAAATATATAAATATCAATCACGTGACCATTAAACATGACTTATTTCGTTCACTTATCTGGTCGTTCATTTATCATATATTTCCATATGGCAACCTTTTTGAAAACATTATATATAATATTATATATATATATATATATATATAATTATATATATATATATATATTATATATATATATATATATATATAATCGTCACCTGACGATTCCTATACGGATGAAAAAGACTGTAGTGGACGACTTTTGGTAATCAAGTAATCATATGTATTATAAATACACTACCCATGTGTTGCAGTTCAATTAAAAAAAAAACGGCAAAGTGATCGGCCTTGGAAAGGTTGTGTCTGATGCAAAAGTGTGCATGGTTTCCAACTAACAGAAGGTTGGGTTTCCGTGGAAGTCGTGCAACTGCATAGTTCGTTTGTGCCCTGCTGGGAAGAATATCCGACATTATCGGACGAAATTGAGGTCGGAAGCTATAGTGCGTGGCCATTGATGAACTTGAAATGACATGCTCAGGTAGTATATGGAATTACTAATATGCTTTGTAAAAGTCGGCTTCCAAGGCTTCTTCATTAGCGAGTTTCAGATTTGGCATCCACTACCACTATACCGCTGCTACCTTTAAGGAAACATGAAGCAATCAAATGCGACAACTTTTAAAGGACTACCGTCGTAGTAGGCCAAGTGATAGTGGAATTCAAATCTGAACCTCGCTAATTACCAACTAACCAACCTGACCAACTTTATTAAAAGCATTAGTGAAAGGTTGTTGGTATATAGAAAAATGCAAAGCCTTTCTGTGGATTAATGTAATAGAAAATGATTACCTGTAATTCATATTTTCAATATAGACGTAGCAGGTATGACCAGCAGAACGGAGGAACAAGGACAACAGATAAAGAAAAATATATTTGTGAATGTAAGGCTCTGCATATAATTACTTTGGATAAAATAATTTTAAGACAATTAATGCAATACACAATGTAATAATATTATATACCTGTCATAATCACAAAAAAACTTTTTTATTATTTTTTAGGAAAACATGCTTTGCAATGGAAGTGAGTGTGCAGATTACCAAACGGATGTAAGTTAAGCATATCAAACAATTTAAAAACTTATATACATTGAGCCAAAAATATGCACTGCATGGTAAACCTTGGATAAAATGGAGTGGGCTACCAATAAGGCACTTTAAAAGGATAGCTCTTTTTCTTTGTTGTCTCTCTTTTCTTACATAGCGCTTTTACAGAATATTTTTAAATTTCCTGTTTTCAAAATATTTCCTAACAAATCTAATTTGTATTTCCCAACTTGTTTTATAACTCTGCAATTATTGTGGTGCATTTATATTTGTATCTATTGTCTGAGGTCTAAAAATGCCCGAAAGGACGTTTTTAACAATTTTTGAAAAAATTCTCTTTGCGGACTGCCTGTAAATAATTTTCTTTAATTATTTTCTCGAGTGAAGTTAAGGCAGTTTTCTTGCCCTTAAAACATCGCTGATTTCAGTTTTAGAAAAGTAGAAAAGTAGCATCCTCTGTGGTTGTCGCCACTCGTTTTAACCTTTTAAAAGGTAGCTTTAAAAAACATTGAATCTACGGATTTAACTTTCGCTTGGATCGTCCGCGTAGCCAATCAGGTTACAAGAAATCGTGAAATATGATTGCGGACCACAAGAAAAAAATATTCGGAATATTTGTTAAACACATACCATTCTTTTTTAGCAGGAAGTAAAAAATTCGACTGCCGCTGTGACAGACTGCGCTGTAAATTCAAACAAAGAAGGTAAATACATACCTCCTGTATTAATGCCCGGTACACACATATGTACTATGACGCACTTACCAAAACCGATTACTTACCAGATATAATACTAATTATTTTAGACATTTAAAACAGCTGATCACAAATTCTGTTTCTCATTAAGGCCATGTATTCATATGCCTTTATTCTTTGCAGCACATATAGTTGTCGCAACCAAAAAACCCGCAGATAACGCAAGAGTGTATGACAGAAAACATGCATGCACATACTGCGGGGAGTTGTGCTCAAAGATTGCAAGGCATCTAACCACAAGACACAAGGATGAAGCGGATGTCGTATCGGCGTTGACCTACACAAAAAATTCGGTTAACCGAAAAAAGGCTTTAACGAAGCTTCGTCTACAGGGTGATTATCATCACAATATGAATACCCTGGAGACAGGTGAAGGCGAACTCATCATCGTCAGACGGCCAGGACAGGATGAGAAGAAATGCGACATTCACGACTTCCTTCCTTGTGAGTTTTGTTTGGGTTTCTTTCGAAAGTGGGACTTGTGGAAACACCACGCATCTTGCGAATACAAATCCGATGTTGCAGTAACGAACGAACGCAAGCATCAGGTGCAGCAAACCGCGAAACTGTTGATTGCCCCCACGTTAACCGGCAGTGATAATATTACTTTAAACAAAATATTGTCTGCCATGAATCGCGGCGAAATCGCGGATATTGTAAGGAAGGACGAGCTTATAAAGTCTTTCGGAATAATGCTGTTAGAGAAAGATGGGGAAAGGGATTGCCAATTTGTATCCCAAAAGATGAGAGAACTGGGTCGTTTGGTGAAGCATCTGATGGTCGAGGAAAAGAATTCAGCGGTTCAGTTATGCGACTACATAAAGCCGGAAAAATTCGACACGATTGTAAAAGCCGTTAAGGAGACGTCTGGATTTATGGCAGGTAACGGTCAGCTTGACGTTAATATCCCGTCGCTCGCATTGAAGCTCGGTTATTCCATCAAAAAATGCGCCTCTCTCCTACATAACCAAGCGTTACGTGCGAGGAACGCAGACCAAGTAAAGGACATAAAGAGCTTCCTGAAAATCATGTCAACAGAGTGGGAATATAAGATTTCCCATCACTCCATTTCAACGCTGAAAGAAAGGAAGTACAATAAGGTCCAAGTCCTTCCTCTGGCGGAGGATATAGCGAAACTGCGGAAGTTCCTTGACGAAGAAATCGCGAGTGAAACAAGTCAACTGGAAGAATTGCCGATAGCAAAAAACTGGACCTCTCTTGCAAAGCTGCTTTTGGCAAGGATTGTGATGCTGAATAAACGAAGAGGCGGCGAAGCATCCAAGTTATTACTGAAGTCGTACGATGAGATACCGGAATGGACCAAATGCGCGACTTCAGAGATCTTATCGAGCTTAAGTCCATTGGAGAAGCGGCTATCGGAGCGGTACGTACACGTAATCTACTTCTTTCTAATATGCTAATCACTGATGACAGCATTACTCCACCCGGTATGACCCTGTCCACACATATCCAAATTCGTATGAATCCGGAAACCTGCGTAATCTTTTGTATCCGCAACGAAATGTTGGAATCTGGAGATGTCTGTCTGATACTAGACAGAATTATCTGAAGACAGAATTTTCTTTCAGTCTTATGGTATAATGTTGCTATTCAAAACATTCGATTACTAGGAGTTACTATCGCAAGGAAATTGCTGTCTTAACATCCCCGGTCAGGCCAAGGATTTAAGGCAGCATGCGGAATTTTAACTAAACTGTTGTGATCTCATTTCCTGCTAATGATTTTAGCTTATTAATTTAAGCTTGTCGCAAATGGAGCTAGTTGACAGTCTCCCAAGATCAAGTGTTGCGGTGGCGTTTTGCGCGTTGTCGCCGAATATACAGGGTGTCGCAAAAAAACGCAAACAATAATAGGCTTAGAATACAATAGCGAGTAAAATATTGACAGGATACATGCAATAAAAAATAAGTTAAGAAATTCTTATTGAATATTGTGCTATGAACGTGTTAGATTATATTGCTGATATGCATTCATTACGTGCAACTGAACCAAAGTGGATCCCTTTGTTTCATAATCAGCTATAACCTGCTTGTTTAAATTTATTTTAGACTTAATTTTGGATGAAATTTTTTATTTTGCATGAAGTATGTATCGACAAAATACTACATACTACAATGATACAATCTTCTCCCTTTCCAATTTCCATAGGCTAAATATGGTTGAAACCCGAGGCAAACGAGGCAGAAAAGTTCCAATAATTCTGACACCAGAAATTACAAAGGGTATAGAGCTGCTTAATTCTCTTCGCTCCAAGGTGGGAGTAAACAAAGAAAACAGATACGTATTTGCGAGAGTAAATAGAGATTCGTTGGAGCCACTGAGAGGATGGGACTGTCTCAGACAATGTGCCCTTGAATGCCAGCCAGAACTTCAAAATCCTGATGTGATAACCAGCACCAAACTGCGAAAATACATCGCAACGATTACACAGGTTTTATCGCTGGAAGAAAAGGAAATGGACTGGCTTGCACGACACCTGGGGCATGATATTCGCACACATCGCGAATATTATCGGCTCCACGAGTCAACTATTGAAATTGCAAAGATAAGCAAGCTGTTATTGGCAGTAGATAGTGGGAAGGCCAGTTCGTTGAAGGGCAAGTCATTGGATGAAATATCGATTGACGGTAGGTAATGACTGTAGGATGAAAGAAAATGATACAATCCTTAGGTTCAATACGTTATGCATTTCCTACAACAATACCGATTTTGGCGCAACGATGCAACCAAGCCAATATAATACAAATGAAACTTTCATATGACATGCCACGTGGTTATGATAGAGAGTTGTCAAGTTTATTGAAACGGGTATTTGCTGCGTAGAACAAGGATCCTCCAGAGTGAATAAGGATTATAATTTTGTGTCGCCGCTAGAATAAGTACAGGTTTTTCTACGCGATCGTGGCATTCATGGATATAGTTCATGTAAATTAAGTTAATCTAGGGATCGAGATATGGAACACGTTGAGTCGCCTAATATTATATATTACTGAATTAACGAATTAATTATATATACTTTAGACATATCTGAGCCAGAACTAACTGATGATGAACGAGGTGATGACGACGGGGAAACAAGTTTGGCTCAAGGTACGGTATATTAGCTACTTACTGAATAGAAATGTAGTTAAATTGTTCCAAAGGGAATGCTAGCCAATTGATCGAGTCATGCAAATGTCTTTAAAGTATCTACATTTGTTTTAGAAATATACATATATACAACAATTATCATACATTAAATATACATCATTATCATGCAAAGCATTTGTTTGGAAAAAGTCTGGAATTATCGTAGGTAAAAGCCTTAAATGGTCTTGATCATCTATTTGTTAGATTTACAATGTCTTGAGATTTCTCAAAGAATGAGTCGCAACCGTCATACATTGTGCCGCAATAATTACAGTTGGTAATATACTAACGCCCGAAATGGCGATAATCCATTCCTAGTCCATTCTAAAATGTAATTCACGTCTAATAAATTGACAATTTTACCCGAATACATATCTCCAGTTTGACTTTTGTTTGTAGAATATATTGTTGCAAACAATTCTAGAACATATCTATAGACATTCTAAAGACGATTCAACACATTTGTGGTAATTGCAAAATGATCCAAAAAAGTCATTAGAGCTATTATTTCAACTTAAAATACAGATTACAGATCTCAAAATGCAGATCACAAAAATTTTTTTCTATACACCTACCAAGGACCTTTTCTAGATCTAAAAAAGATCCACCATTAATTTTTATAAACCGCATATAAAATTATCTGAAAACAACAAAACTGGCAATGATCATGCAATGTTCATCTTCATCTAGAACCATAATTTTATTGCAGTGAAATGATATTAAATAAAAAAATTATGTTATATTGGCTTCACTGACTTAACCACACATTGTTTTTTCTATCCCAGAGGAAACAAAGAAACGCAATGCTTTTGAAGCAAAAAGCAAAGGTGAGTTATAACTAAATTTCATAACAGCTAGATTTCAAAACAAAAAATGAAGGAGCGCAAAACAGCAAACCGAAAAAAAAGTATCTTTGGATAAAATTGTTCATGTAATGGTCACGGGTAATTTTTCATTGAGGAAAAACATCCCCATCATTTTTGCTGGGAATTTGCAATATCAGTTTTTACAGCCTTGTTTTAACAATTAGCAGGGGCATCATCAGAATTTTTTATTGAGCAGGCAAGTTTCAGCAAAAATAAGAATTTTTACTGTTTTTTTTACGATCCAGCAGGAAACGATAATAGTTCAGCAAATGAAAAATATAAAATTTCAAGATGGTTTTCAACTTTCAAGTTTTTGCTCAGTTTTAAGGTTGCTTTAATTTCGTAAAAATCCTGAGTAAGCTTCCTAAATATGCCGAGATGTCCTCCAAATCCCAGTCCATGGTTCCCAATCCTCTTAGAATTATTTGTGCGTCATGTTGTAGAAGGGAAATATCAGAGACCGCGTATAGAGAGGGAGGGGAGTTGGAGCAATAGAAATTTTCACGAAGGACGATATCTATCTATAATTTAGTTTCCCACTAAGAGAGCGTGTTAGAGAGTCGCCACTCTCTAACACGATCCGCGGGGCCCTGAATTTGAGAGCTAAAAACGACTGCAGGCCCTGAATTTGAGAAGAAACATAAATATACAGCTAGTCAATTCACTAACCGAAAGGAATTTTTGCAGCTTTTTTGCTAATTTACGGACCAAATCAAATACATCAAATCAAATTACTTTTTACAGCTTGGAAAACACGATTGAAATAATGCAATTGAAACTCACAACACCCCGTAGTTTTAGTCAAGGTAGAAAGCTATGGTAACTAATCAGTGATTATGGTAACTAATCACTAATCATCGATACTTTTTTTAAAGCGACAAAATCAAAGAAGCCAAAACTTCAAAAGGAAACAGACGGAGAGTGGCTACCAGGTATGACTAAGTTATCCATTTAATTTTGATTTTAACGACAATTTTTGTCTTAAAACAAAGTGAGAGTTGGCCCAGATTCTTGTTGGCGCATGCTTGAGGTTAGCTCGGCGGCTTACGAACGAGTTTGAAAAAAACAAAACGCTATGTTAGGCTACGATGAGGTTCATGTGGAAAACAGGCCTAAGCCTTCAACCATCATTATCGTAACAAAATCATTAGTTCTGGCTGAGTATACAGGGTGTCTCCAAAAAAGATAATCCAACTTCAACGCGCTGCTGTGCGTGAATTACCCTAGAAACAAGAGTCACTTTTGATACTATGAAAGAACAGTCGTTTAGCTTTCGAATGCCATGTTGTTTCTCAAATGCGGAGGAAAAATGAGCAAATGCGAGCGCGTTGAAATTTCTTAACTATAAATAAAGTCCAAAAGGGGCTGACAAAAAACAAAGCTTGTTTTCAAAAGGTTTTGTACTTAATTCTCAGAGGTGAAAGAATGTGATTTCGACCAGGATTTCCTTGGTTTTCTTCCATATTTCAAAACCAACATGGCATTCGGTGATCACAGAAAAATAAAGCCTATTACGCCGACCTGTCGCCGACTTATTGTCTTGATTCGTCGAGGGAGAAAATAATTTCTGAAAGACAAAAGGTTTCACTCATCAATAATCACCGATAATAATAATTTGCTGCATGACGTCGGCGTTTTGATTTACTCATCCATTACTCAAATTTATTGTATATACCAAAATTTAAGTTAGGCTTTCCTCTACACAAATAATTATTTACAACTCTGAACCCAATAGCTCATAATATCTCGTCAAACCTGTATACTTTTTTCTGGTGCACCCGGTATATGCATGGGCACTAATTTTGTACTTTTGTGTTATAGGTGCGAAATATGTAACTAATTAGTTATACTCTTTCATTTGTAATGCAACTTTTTTGAAAAATTTTCCAACTTGTAAATTACCTTAGCACGGCTTTTGCCGTACTTTGCAAAAATTCGCACCCAACCATGGTGATTTTACTAATCTATACTAATAAATACACTAATCTATCATAGGGCAATCTGAAAAACCCGCGCAAAATCGCAGTGGCTTAAAAGAAAATAGCAAAGGTAATTTTCATATATTAATTATTCATTTATCATTCTCTTTAATTTTAATCTTTTTCTGTAATGGACAGCTTCAAATTGAATTCCTTTTTTGCCCAACTAACTATAGTAGCAATGGTGTTGCTTAGTTCCTCAAGTTCAACAGTGACTTGCGGAACAACTTTAATTCAATTAGACAAGTGACACAATCAAATACATTTATTATTCATCTATAACTCTTTACATGCAGTATGAGAAGAATTTTGAAAAAGCAAATTTGGTCGTGTTAAATTAAGAGGGCCTGTTTTAAGTATTTTAATTATATGGCAAGCATCACCTCCGGTTAAATGGTTCCTGTGATTGCCTAGAGAAATTTCCAACGGCCCATTTACTTTCTCATAATAGAAAACCTTCCCGTATGATAGGTCTGTAAGAAAAAATATTTATAATTTATAGCTATAATGTTCTCTCGTATATCGTATAGATACACATATATTTTATTCCTTTCGCTTCGACTGCATGATGTTAACTCCCTCTACAATAATCCCTATATTTTTAGATTAATGTCAATTCCCATCTGGGCGTGTCCGTATTATTATTATTAGCATTACTATATTACTCTTGAAATGCTATATATTTCTTGTGACTTTGTGGCCATTCTTTTGTTGAGCTGTTACTTCTACACCATTCCTTGAAATAACTTTGTATGGTTCTGGGTTGAAATTCGTTGTTAGTTTGTTTTTCTTTTCCTGTTGAAGTCGAACTAACACATAATCACCAACATGTATCTCGCTCTTTTCTACATTTCTTTTATGATCAGCGTTCTTTATTTCTTTCCTTCTTTGTTCTTTCGTTGTCTCGAGCTTCTTTGTGTCTTTTAATGCATGACTTTCCTTCGCGTGATCACTGGGATCTTTCCTTTTACAATACGATTAAATAATAGTTTTGATGATGGTACACCTGTGGTACAATGCGGGGTTGTCCGATATTGAAGAGAAAACGATATAACTCTTGTTTCCATGGTCTTTCTTCTAGCTTTGCTGTCTTTAGTGCCTTTCCCAACGGTTGCATGAATCTTTCTACCATTGCGTTCCCTTGAGGCCAATAAAAAAAATTGATTGATTGATTGATTGAAATTAAGATCACATGGCAGCAGAAACTGAATTGCGTGACTTATTACATGGGTTGGTTACACTAGTATAGTAAAGCTACTACTATTAGTATATATACAAAGATTCTTGGTTACACTACTATATTAAAAGATCCACTATAATTATATATAAGAAATTCGTTATATAGGATGATTACTCTAGTATAAAAAGTTCTGCTATTATTACATGTATAAGAATCTTGGTTACACTACTATATTAAAAGTTCTACTATAATTATATTTACAAAATTCCTTGTATAGGACGTTTAAGGTCACCTAACGGGTCAAGTAACCTAAGATGGACATTTCTTATACAACTGATTATATGCTTTACTACCATAGTACTAGTTGTTGGTACTACTAGGGGGTATTGTACCCTCAGGTCATAAGCTTTAGAATCATGACTTTGCTGTAGTAGATGTTTCAATTTATTATCTGGGCTTTCCTTTATGTTCTGGAATAGTTTGTTGGTGAGCGCTTCATGATGATCGTCAATGGTTTGAATATTGGCTAACTCCAGGGCGGTAGAGTACGAAACACCCGGAAAGATACACCTCAACGCTCTCTTCTGGATGCGCTCCAGATCTTCTCTCAGATATATTGGGAGGGCGTAATGGAAGACGGGACAGGCATAATCCAATGTTGAACGTATGCATGCACAATAGTATTGTACTATATCGGCAGTGTCTACTCCAGATCGTTTAAGTTGAATCAAGAAGTAAAATTTTTGGAAAGCACTCTTTCGGAAAGGCGCGAGTTGAGCATTAGTCCCAAGAGTTTCACACTTGTTACTTTTCTGATTGGTTGACCATTAATCAATACCGGTGGACAAATTTCTTTTTTATTTTGTCTGCTGTAGCTGATAACAAGTTCTTTTGTTTTGTCACAGTTCAACTGGAAAAGATTCTTTTTAGACCATTCGTTAACTTCATTAACAGCCATGCAGCTGGGCACAACTCTGTTCTCCTTTCTGTATAGTTTCCGAAACAGTTGAATCGTCAACGTACTTCCATAGATCGAAAGGATAAGCGGTAGAAAGATCGTTTATCATAATTAAAAACATGCAGCCAAGGGCCCAACTTTGTTCCTTGGGGGACCCCTGACCTCACTAGGCCCCAATCTGAGAAACAGTCACATCCTATCTTCACTCTCTGTGATCTGCCGGTGATGAAGCTTATTATCCAATTTAAAATACTGTTCGGAATATTTAATTGTTTTAGTTTGGTTATAAGCAAGGAATGATCGATAAGATCGAAGGCTTTACGAAAGTCAAAAACATCGCTCGAACAGTGGCACCAGTACCATCGGTGTCGTTTAACCATTTATGGAGCATGTTAATTAGAGCTATAGTTGTGGACGAGCCACGTATAGTTCCAAATTGGTTTGGGTCAAGAGATCTAATTACAGATGGTTTAATGTAATCTGTCACAACAAAATCTTCAGCTATCTTAGATATTGACGCGGTGAGAGATATGGGTCGGAGCTCTTTTTGGGGGTCGCTGACCTTCTTAACTTTAGGAATAGGAATTACATCTGCGAGTTTCCAGTTGCTTGGGATTTTTTGCTCCTTAAATGAAGCGTTCAGAATGTAAGTAACAGGTTCGGCTAAAATCTTAGCATATTCCTTTAATAACCAATTTGAGATGCCATCAGGTCCACAAGATTTATGTTTGTTTAGACGAGTCAGGGACTTGTAAACTCGATAAACAGGGAGTTCTAGGATGTCTGGATCGTTTTCCAAAGATACGCGTTCAGTGGTAGGGTCCAGTAAATGGAAAGCTTGGAGAGGTTCCAAGAAAGCAGCATTTAATTTTTTCGCAATGTCCCTACGTGGTATATCTTGTAATTCAGAAATTCCATGTAGTTTATTTAGAAGGTCACCTGAGTCTGTTTTTTTTGCTCCTTCCACCACTGTTTGGGGTTTTTTCCTTTAAGATCTTCAACCTTTGATGAGTAAAACTTTGCTTTGCTAGTTTTCCTTTCTCTATTCACTTGGTTCCTCAACGATTTATATTCATGTTCGCTACCTTCTTTATTAGAGTGGAAGGCAAGCTGTCGTAGTCGTATAAGTTCCTTGAGCTTTATAGTCATCCAAGGTGGGTCTTTAGGATAGACTTTAATAGACTTTATAGGCATAATGTTGTTCATTCCTATTTTTACAGTTTCATCGAAAACTGATAACATACTTTCACAATCCTTTTGGTGCAACAATTGGGGCCAATTAAGGCTAGCCAGGTATCGGGCAAGGGAATCTTTTTTGCTCTGTCTTTTGTCACGAACAAGGATTTTTTTCCTTGTGGACGTAGCACGAGTGCGTTCTCTTGGTTTCAACAGTACGGTGCTATGATCAGATAATCCGAAAGGTGGATTAATTTCGGGTTGTAAGAAGAAATTAGCCTTGTTAGTAAGGATCAAATCGAGAGTAGCTTAGCCCCTTGTTGGCGATTTGACTAACTGCTTTAAATTGAAATGTCGTTGCAGACTATTTACATTAAGATGGTTAAAATCTCCTGCAACAATAAGTCAACAGTTGGGAAACATTGACTCCGCTACAGAAAGACTCTGAAAGAGATGGTTTGTAATAAGTTGGGAATCTGCTCCCGGTGGATGGTACACCACAGCAACAATTAAACATGAAAATCCCCGAGGTAATCGTTTTGGGTTAAGCTTTAGCCAAAGAATTTCATGATCTTGACAGCAGTTCAGATTCTCAGGTAATTCGTACGTGAAATCGTCCCTAAGATATATACAAACTCCTCCATGTTGTTTAGTTAGTCTATCTTTCCGGAAAATAATATAACTATCAATATGTACGATAGAGTCACTAATTCTGTCGTTGAGCCAAGTCTCCGTAATGAGACCAATGTCAACGCATTTTCGTAACAGAAACTCTTGTATTTCCACCAATTTAGGTACTAGGGACATCGTGTTTGAGAGCATTATTCGGGGAACAAAATTACATGATACTTGATTAGAGGTTTGTGGTAAGGTTGAAGATTGTGCCACAATGCTTGGTGTGAGGTAGTTATTAAAATTATTTTTAAAATTTTGTGGTCCTCTGCACGTCCTTTCGGTTTTAGTTTGCCGGTTTCCATAAACACGGTTTGTAATTCTGACTTGGATTTGGCTATTTTCTTTTGGGATTTCTAATTCATTCGTAACTTTATCCGGTACCGAGGCATTTAGTGTAGCTTCCCACGTTTGTCCCGGTATGGTAGAGGGAGTCCCCCAAAAAAGAAGAAGACTGTGAGGAATGAGTTGTGGTTCGAGGATTTAGCTTGGATATTTCTGTCGGACTTGGCTTTTCGGGAGGATTCTGGCAGACTTTTAGTTTGCGAGTAACATAATCGCACTCCCCGAGAGGCTCAGGTTTACTCGATGATGGTATT